GAAGAAGAACACAGTGACTTCAGGTCAGAAACTAACATATGAAGTATAAAATTTATTACGCTGTGGAGTTCGGTCTCAGTGCATACATAATATTGCAGTATAATAAAGTACAATCTATCGGAGTTCAAGATCTTGTTGAACAATAACGATAGCGATCGGAGCGAGTCCTGAAAGCGCGTGGAAAGAATCGACGCGACCTAAAGAAACGCGGAGTTGTTGCGTCGCGTCGTGCGTCACGTGGGTTCCGAAGAAGAAGCGTGTTCTGCCCGGTAGCCCGTTGCTCGTTTTTGCGAGTCGACTGGTCGGGTTGGCCGCCTCTTCTCTTCTCCTCTCTTCTCTTTCCGAACAACCAGAGTATATAGGAGCATGGTCTCGTATCGTGTGTGCGCGCGTACCACACGATTCTACGCCGCGCTGCGCGGTGAAACACACCAGAGGAAACTGGCTCCGTGTATGCGAGAGCTTGGCGCCGCACTGTCGCATCCTATATACAAGATCACTCTCGGATCGGCTATGCGAGGAGCGCATACAGTCGCTCGCGAAAGTATACCGACACTCGTAGAAACAATTTATGAATCATGCGTTAGGTAAACGTGAAAATGGCAACGATTTCTGCGTTATATAAACTCAAACATTGCTCGTCAATTGTAATCAAATTAAAAATAAGAATTGAGATAAAGAAACTCGAACATAGTTCATGAATTGTAATAGACCAACAAAATCACATAGCTTGTTTTTTTAATTAAAAAAATAAAAAATTAAACATTGACAAAAGTTTTATATTTACTCATCTAAACAATAGTTTTATACTTATTTTGATACACTAAAGTATTCAGACAGTAAACACGTCCGAAATAGATAAAAATAGCGTTACAAACATTTTTAAATTGGCATCGTTGCTATGTACGAATTACACGGGGGGTGGAAGTACGCATACTCAAATTGCATAATACGCGCGCATGTACATAAAGCAGTTTCAATGCGGAATGAAGTCCGAAACGGGAGAGAAGGCGTTCCATTTTATACTCGAGCAAAACGTTGATAGTCATGGATCTGTCGCAACGGCAATGAATTTCTGCTTGCAAACAAAAGTTTTCTTTGGTATGTGTTCGCATACTTTCGCAAGCCACTGTACGTACGTAGTCGCCTCGCCTCGCGGCGTACAGGCGAAGCAGATAGCAGAGAGATAGGACATGTCGCAAACGATGCTCATTTTTACAATAGTCAGTCGGCTAACGTATCCTATTTCTAATCCTTCTTCGAACGAATTTCGACTCACCTCCCCTCCCGCCTTGGAACACCTGTGGTTCGACGGAAGATATGTACAACGCAATACATAGGGAATTATATACAACGCTTAGTTTTGCGACCCCGTGGTACATATCCAAAGTCTGCTGATGCCGGGTTAATTAAACGCAACAGACGTATCGATGTCCGTCGCTCGTTATTTACACCGTTTGTGCATCGCCTCGCATTTCTGCGTGTATGTACATACGCAACAGATAACGTGAAAAATAGATGAATCCACGCGCGATGGATATTGCGTTACAAAACTGATGTTTCCGTTGATCGTATCTGGTAGCTTGGTATACAAACTTCGCGTCAAAACTAATGCTAAATTATCTTTTCTTGTTTAATCTTTTTTACATTGAGAAATTTATGCATGTACTTTCAACCAATACGATTACAGTAATAATCGTAGTCGAATCAATGACAGTGACAGGAGAATGCAAAATCAATTGAATTCGCACGTTCACCATTGAAGTTCAATGTTTAAAGAGGAATGATCTGTCGCGGGCAAAAAGTATTGGGAGATCGAGAGGACTGACAAGTCAAAGAAGATTCGTCAAGTGGGAGGCTTGGGAAGAGAGCGATCTGGTCGCATGAGTCGCATCGGGAAGCGGGACAGTGGTCCGTGCGGTGCACGTAGGTCGTTCGACGCGACGGGACGCGAGGCGACGCGACGCGACGCCGGTCAGCTGGCGCCAACGCTCTGGCAACCTCCCACCAGACAGTATTTCGCCTCGTTAATCATGCTTTATACTTCGCCGTTCCGTTTCGTACCCGTTCCCGTTCTCCATTTCCCCCCCTCCTTTTCATTCCCTAAATTCCACAATTCTTTTTCCTATCACGTTCTCATGCACGCTCCGCATCTCATTATCACTTATTTTTATTATACTTTGTTAATTTCATTTGCCAATGTCCTCTGAAGTGATACCGAAACTTTATTATCGATAATTACCGAATCGATATTATTAATTTGACAATTTATCGTAAGTGCGAAAGCACTTGTCTTCTATTCATTTACCTTGAAATCATCGATAATTACTTGACAAACTTATTTCGAACAATCGATCACCGACACACATTTGAATTTCGTATTTACTCATCTTCTATCAGTAAATTAATTGCCACGAAAGATAAAATAATTGCGGACCGTGAATGATTTCAAGGCAACTCGCTACCGAATGCTCGCAAGCACGCGAGATAAGGATAGGTTGCGTTCAATTATTATTCGCCGCGTGTAATCGGCAAAAATTAAGCGACGCTCATGAGAACGTCGAAAATGCACCTGCTTCTCGTTGTCAGCAGGTGTTCGGCTACAATTTCTCCGCGTGTCGAAAACGTACACCTTGTATGTACCACATACGGAACCAGCACAGGCTGTGAACCAAGTTACCAATGCTGTGGTAGCTTTACGTGTACCGCGCTCCGTTTTGTTCGGGCCAGCTCCGTTATACAAAGCATTGTATTTCCAAAAAAAAAAATTTGTTTTCTGCTACAGTCGATATTTTACAAATGGAAAAACAATCTAACTTTTTCGTCTGTCCTTTCATTTATTTGAATCTTATTTAAAGTGAAACAATCTTGTTTGATGTAAGGGCTCGAGGTAGGTTAGTTGAAAAGAAAACAATCATACACGCACTAACTGGAACTGCAAATTACCTGCGAATATTACCGCCATGTATTGGCTCTAATATGCATATGTACGTACGTAAAATTATCTCGACGTTTGATAATAATTAATAATTCGCAAAAATCTGGACAAGATTTACTGTTGAAAATAAGACTCCTATCGCATCTTAAGGCTAAAGAAATGCCAACAAGGAACGACGAGACAGCGCTTGTTCGAAAGACAGTCAGGTATATGCGTGGAGGGTCGTTCGATTATTTAGCAATCGGTGGGTCAGTGAGACGATAATTCTGTCGCAACAGAACGTAATACTTACACTATCGACCAAATTCTTGTATCACTAAGTGTCTTAATTTTTCGAATCTCTCTACTGAGTGATTCATAAAAATGCAGCCATTCTCTGGCTGCCATTGCAATATTGCAAGCTGATTAAAAGATCAGCGATAGAAAACAGACTTGGCGGATAATATACGTATCGTTCCGTTTGAAACATCGAGCGCGCGCGCGCGATGAATTCAGTCTTCTTTTCTCTTCCTAAGTTTGCCTTCCGTCTGAATAGTCCTGGACACAAGATCGACGCAGGCTCCCAACGAGTCACCGTTGGCTGGCTCGCCCTCGGGAGTATTGACGATATTCCCGAGGGTCATAATGTAACTGCACGCGATCCTCAACACGGACAACTTAGACAGTTTCTGATTGTGCGAATACGCGGGTATTGCACGTCTCAGTGTATCGAACGCCGCGCTTATGGTGTGCACTCTCGTCCTTTCCCTGGCGTTCGCTTCTATCCTCCTCTCTCGAGTCATGTTCTTGTAGTTTCTCTGTTGACCTGCCGTTGAGTACTGCCTCGTTGGTTGGCCACTCTGAATGCCCGTCACCGTCGTCGTCGGCCTGGTTATCGTCGACGTTATCGACACGGTCGTCGTCGAGCAAGAATTCTCGCCATTCGACCGCGTTCGATGATTTTGTTGACCAGAGGAGAGCGACGAAAATGACGGTGACGGCGACGACGACGTAGATGAGCAGGAGGACGAAGACGAAGACGATATCGACGAAGAAGCGGAAGAAACGTTCGCGCATTCCACGGAATAGCTTTTCTCGTAGCTACCGTTTACCGCTGGATGCGAAGGCACCCTGGCGGCCACGTCCCCTCTCAACACAAGAGACAGAGGTTCCTCTTGCAATCTCGGATGCGAAGATGCCGCGGCGGACGAGGACAATGTCGTTTCCGGCGTTGTTATCTTTGTCGAGGCTGCAGCAAAGTCTGTCTCGATTCGAACAGCGCGCGTTTTGTCTTGCCTTTGCCTACCTGGCAAAGTCTCCTTGCCTTCGCATTGTTTCTCCGAGGTATCCCTCTCCCCGTTTTCGCCATTTAAGTCGCTCGCGTGATCCTGATCGCATTTGTTATTATCGTCGTCATTATTGCGGTCATCCTCGCGATTATCGCTGCCGCTGGTCGGGTAGTGATGGTGATGAGAATAATGGTAGCGATGGTGGTAATGATGATGTCGATGGTTAACATGGCTCGAGATTATGCTTGTCGCGGTCGATTCATTCGATGTCGAGGAGAAGGTGGACAATTGATTCGTATTCTTCTCCGTTACCGTAATCAGTTTAGAGTCAGCGACATTTTTACTGGTGCAGCTCCAGGGTCGAAACGGATTTGGCGATCGTACCGTTCTCGATGACTCTTCGTCTGGCACCGTCTGCTCCTCGACATGTTCGTACTTCCGCTTTTTCAGAGGGGCAGAAATCCCCTCTCGTATTTTCCGCGGTTCAGCCAGTTTTCTCTTGTTCTTCAACGAAATCGGCATCACCTGCACTTCTAGGCTGTCTTCTGATGCACTAGGTGAATGCAGATTCGAGATGTCATCCTCCTCGAAGCCGCTGCAAAAGCCCGCATCCTTCTCAGAGCCTGTCATGGCACCGACTGAAACCGAGAACAAATATATTCCAAGATTAAAAACGAGAATAGTATGAATTATCTTGTTATTAACGGAGCCAAATGCATATCTTTACTTTCCTACTCCACCTACTCTGTCTAATTCCAAAACTACAAATATTATATCTATGAATGAACGACCGAAATATATGAACAATATTATATCTATGTCTTCTCTTTCTTTCTGTTTTTATTTTTTGTATTTTAAACAGAGGTACTTGATTACTGAAATAGCATTGTCAAAACGATTTATATCGTCTCGCATTGTCTCGACGTCTTCTCGAACAAGAAGACGTGATGTTTTCAGGCTCGGCGTAGCATCCATTTGGTACCATCTGGCGCCCACGACTGTTTGGATGCTGCTGTGCGCGTAATTTCCTTTTCCTTTGCTTTGTTTAATTTCGCATTAGAAAGTATCGGTGTCTGATTAATGTTTGTATAATAAATATTAATATCCGATATTGCCAAGAGCACTGATGCATGAGTATTTAATATCATTTAAAGTCGTAAATAGTAACAAAAAGCATGTCCAGTGATTATCGAAAAAGAAATCGTCGACTATCGATGTTTCTATGAATTTTAGGTGATTACCCATAATCACGTGGTATGGAGGAACTGTACGGATTATCGTATTCGGTACTGATATAGCGCAGTCACTTGATACCAGTTTGATGTGATACCATACCAGATATTGCATCGGGAAGAGTATCGATATCGATCGGATCGGACGAAAGATGTTCCACGGGCAGTAAACACGTGTTTCTTGCGAATATTGCGGTCTACACACCGCGCACCTTTGTCGTCTCGTTCGGCAATTGTTCAAACAAACCGAAATAACATCTGGACATCTGTGTAAACTGGCGCGAAGCCGTACCGACTAACCGCAGCCTGCATATCTTCGGTCTTTTTGGTCAGGGCCGTATGAACGGCGCGGATCCTCCTATCGTCAACGTTTCTTCCTCCTTTTTCCGTTACGCACACTCGCAGTCGTCACTTCGCGTTTTGAATTTCCTCAATCGAAGCCCAGGCGTAATCAATACTCCGTAGTAATCGAGTAAATTAAAAGATAAAGTCGGAATTCATTCGTCACGCCGTGTCATGGAGAAGAATGGTCACTTGCTTCCGGTGCAAACTTACGCGGTAGAAATAAGGTCGAGCATAACGTTCCTGGATGCGAATCTTGAAATAAGGCGAAGAAGGGAACCGTGGCCAACTTTCGCGCCGATTATAAATAAGCGTCGCCCGACAGACCGCGCGAAGCAGGAGAACGAGGAGCACCTATATTCGGTCGATTCACTGTTTCGAGTAGTAAACGTCTCACGGGAAGATGATTCGCGGTATCAGCAAGTTTAGTGTAAACGTCAATGTGCAATCGGAGTAAATAACTTCAAAGTGTAATTCGATTGACAATTTGTCTGACTCTTTGATGAACGAAAATTACCAGATTTGTTTCGCGCATTGTTTGTTCTCCAATTTCGTAGTATTGCAAAACAGAGTGTACGATATAGATCACGGATAACGCGTTGGTCATAGGTGCACCCGCACTTCTGCACTGTGTCGACCGAACGTTCGCACGCGTTGAAAGATAATCTTGATTACATTATCGATACATTCTTAGAACGCGCGTTGTCACACTCTCCGATGATCCGATTCAAGATATGCGCTTATACGATAACCACTTCTGTAGAATGAATTTGAAAAATGAATGATCAACCATCGTACGCCATTGTTATAATTATTTCCTGTGAATACGAGTGCCCAAGTATTTATATCTACTTTGATTCAAGGAAAAAATTGTGACGACTTTGCGGCGATAGCAACGACGATATCGATTTAAACGTAACTCGCGCGCGAACCATCTGGCTAGCGCCATCTTCGCGTCCTCTTCTTATCTGTTCTCTCGCGTTTTTCCTCTTCCATCCCACAAGCATAAACCGCCTCTCGGTAACTCAACTCTGATTATGCATCGTTAACGTAAACGCAGCGCTGTAACTATCCGGAGATTTGATATTCACCAGCTACTTCGATCTATTTGATTTTCAGCCGATTTTCGAAGCTCAAAGCGCGTGAACGCACGTCGACAATTGAAAATGTAAATGCGATTCAATTCGGACAAGAAAATAGAGTTGATTGCATTATTCGAGTAAATTTTTGACGAGCACGGGAACAATACTGAAACATTTTCGATTGTTCCGTTAGCCATCTTTCCAGGTGCGCGCCATAAACAGAAAGGTGTCTAGTTAAAGAAGGGGCCAAAGACTATGAGAAGAGGGTACAGGTCCGAAAAGACGGAAGAGAGGTTCGGTTCAGGTAGCAGGTGCGACTTAACGCACAGGTGGGTGGTAGGTTCGTCGCCTAAACCTTGCCATTCGCTTTCTGTTCCAGGGTCCCGTCCCCCTCGACCTATTCTCCTACACCCTACTTTCTGTCTTTCTACCTGAGCGTACCACGCACAATAGAATATCGATTACATTCAACATAATCCCGCGCTGCTCAAACTCTGGTTTGCCCGTTAATCAGGGAGTAATCTTAATTCCAGGCTGCGGTTTCTTTTATTACTTCAACAACGATCAGATTTTATGAAGCGTCTATAAAACCAAGGTAATTCCGTCCGGACGATTAGTTGTCGAAAATCACCTTCAAGGACCTATTCCACCGAATAACTGTTTCTCACTAACAAAAGAAGGAGAAGCAGGTTCAAATATTACATTGTAGTAGTTACATAAATATTAGAAAGATATTTCTACAGTTAACTTGAAGGTCATTTTTGTCATCGAGCAATAAAAGCATGTCGGTATGACCCAGCAATGCTATTGACGGTAAGACGAATTTTTGAGCAAGCATCCTCGTTACGAGTTTGAATTTCATTCTTTAATGCGACATCGTGGATCGGATTTGTTCATCGGACGTGATTGATAAAGGGTAGAGCAGAGGGCGAGAAATAAGGGAAGGAAGAGAAGAAACGCGGTCGTTCGTGGAAACGTGAAACGAAGCGGACAGCGATTAGACAAGACGGTGAGCCTCGAGTTTGGTCAAGAGGTCGTTTGTTTCGTGCCAACCCACGCTGGCGCCGTCGTCTTCCTATCTCTCTTTCGCGCCTCTCCTTTCCTCTATCAACTGTCACTTCTCCTTCCCATTCTGTCTCACCGTCTCCCGCAAGATCCCGTTCTCTTTCAACTTCTCACAGCCTCGTATCTGTCAGACTAACTTTCTTGGTCACTCTCTCTCTCTCTTTCTCTCTCTCTCTCTGTTTCTATTAATCTATCTGCGCGACGATCTCGATCCTCCGTGAAACAGAGCGGACTTTGCGTCTGGTTCGTAATCGCATGACTCGATTACACATCGCATACACATGGCGGCTAAACGATTTATTCTAAGATGCGTACAGAAGAAGTGTTATAAAAAATTACAGGATCCGTGGACTAAAAGTGTGAGAGTCAAAGTACAAGTCTGACGATAAAATGAATATCTATCCAAGCTTTGCTCACACTTATTAGATAACGATTAAGTAACGATTTCAAGTGCAAGCTCAATCCATCGCATCGGTTAACAGCCTATGTACGTACGTACGTACGTATGTAGTTGGTATTTACGTTCTACGATCGCAGGCGTTACGGTTATCGCGTACGAGCTACTACCACGTGCGAGGCGTTCGTTAAGGTAGACTATGTAAGCGTGTCTGAAAGCGTTGCGTTGGCGGAGAAGCTTGCCCGAGCGAACTATGCGTAATCTTTTGGCCTCGACTACAGCCGACGATCTCTCGCGGAACAGGCCAGGCCGAGCCGGGCCGGGCCGGGACTCCGGGTGGCGCCGTTCGCAACGATAATTATCGTTCTTCGCGACTCCCACCAAACTATCAATCGACCGTACGACGTCGTTTACGGCACCGTTTACGATTCTCCTCGCGGTGCTAGTAGCTCGACAATGAATATTTTTTTATTTGTTTATTATTATGTACACAAGCGCGTATACTCGTATATTCTCAACCGTTTGCACATTTATATCTAACTTTCATATCGTATTGTTTAAATTACGTCGCGTCCAGATTCCTTTAACCGATTTCTTTTGATAATATCGAAAGGCTGCGTGGATATCGACTGGATCTTGATTAGAATTAAATTAAAGTTAAGCATTGATTAAGATCGATCCTTCTCTTTCGTAGCGTACAAAATACGAAATCTACTGCTTTTCACTGATAGTTTGATAAATAATTGAAAGGAAAATCGGCCAGTTTAAAGTAAATTACTTTATTTTTTGAGTAATATAAATTCATAATGGATTTCAAACGCTTTTAAATAATATTTCTCATAGAAGAAGATTTTCATTTGAGACTACTAGTTGTAAATAATTCTTATAAAACTAAGCCTTGACAAATTTTCAAACAATAACGAATTAAAAATTTATATTGAACGAGAAATTTATCTGTGCAGTAACGATATTCACCTTTCATCATAGCTGACAATTCGGAGATGGATTCCACCACGTGATGGGTCATGTTGGACCGGATACTCGACTTCAGGCACCAGTTCGAAAACACTTCTCTCTATTTTCGTTCACCACACACGCACTCACCCCGTATCCGTGCACCAGTTTTCACGGGGCGGAATCCTCTTTCAATTCAAAGAACACGTGTAGCAGACAAGTTTATGCCTCACGCGCCTCCTATCTCTTACTTGTCCTCCTTACTGTCCTGTGACACTGCGATCAACATGCGCATTTCATCCTTACAGACTGAACAAATCCGGATCACTGTTAATAAAACAAGCGGGAACACTCGCTCACGGTCACAGCTATTTCGCTTAGAAGTCGAAACTATTGTCTCACAACAGAAGACACCTTTACACGATCGCGGCCAAACAGCTACTGACTGAGTCTCCTCGTGCCGTGGCTCGTCTCGGTCTCGGTTTGTGCACGCGTGCGAGGGAGTCCCAACTGGCCTGGCGCGACCACCTCTACCCGAACCCGACCCACTCCACGACTTTGCCTGCCGTCCCTCTAACATTACCACTACTACAACTCGAACCAACCACTACCAACGTACGGACACGGCGATCACCAACACCGACGCGACGCGACGGCATCAGACGTCGTTTCTTTTTCCAGGCTCCGCTGGCCGCCGGCGCCGAGCAACGTTAAACTCCGATACACTCGAGATTCGGTGCGAATCCGTCGAAACGACGAACGCATTCTGCTAGATGCGCATTCCGAGATTTTGCCAACTGTTTGAATTTCCCACATTTTATTTTGTACACCGAATGTCTAATTTATATATATAATCAGCTGTGTAACTGAAGTAGTATTACAATATTGTTACGTGACGTAAACTCGATGCAATTTGTTTTAAACGGATTATTTGAGTTGACGTAACATTAACGACACGTGTTACCAGAATTTCTGCCGTTTCATCAATTTATAATTAATACGTGTATGACAGATTGAATTTGACGCAACGCAATGTTTCGCATTGATTCCGGCTGAACATCCGTCCAGCTGGTGGAGGAGCAAGGGTGATACGACGGGACTAATGTTTTGGTCTCGACTATAGCCGAGAGCGTATCCCACGCAAGAGCTGGATCGTCGGTGACGAGGATGGTGATGCTGGTGTTGGCGTTGACGTCGGAGAGGACGGCGGGGAATGGGAAGAGGCCAGGCCGCGCATTGTTGGCGGCAAGAGGCAGCAGGGGCCGACAGAACGGCGCCAGCCGACCGAGAGTTTGACTTGGTTTCTCTGCTCCGCTCCGCGTCCGTCCCATCCTTCTTCCTCTTCCTCTTCGTCTTCTTCTTCTCCTCCGTCTCACAGCTCTTGGCTCACGGTTCTCGTCTCCTCTCCTTCTATTCCATCGTGCCCTTTCTTTCGCGCTCTCGATCCTTTCCCTCCATTCTCTCTTTCTCTCTCTCCTTTTTCATCGCCCCGTTGCCGTGCAAACGTCTGTGAAACTTTCCCGGCTCGATTTCGAGCCGAACCACCCGCGGTGCGAAATAAACATGAGTGCGATTCGTTCGACCCGCCCCCGCGCACCATTCTTAATTTTCAGACGTTTTCCCGTTCATCTAGACTTACCCGATCGATACCATTGATACCGATCGGCAATGATTACGAAACAGTGTCTAAGGTGAGCTGTCAGTTTCATGAGACGTTAGATATCATAATAATCATGCACGGTAATTATTTTTCCTTGCATCACGTGTCAAATGAGTATCAAATACTGCTTGTCTCGATTTAACTAAGTCTCAGCAATTGTATCGCTGTGTTAGAAATTCATGCATCAACTACATAAACCGATGCCTAAACGCCCAATTCATTTTATTAGGCAGATTTCTTAATTTATTATTTAATTCCAATTGATGAAAATCATCAATTCTACTGACTCTACTGCCATTCGATTCTGTTACGGAAACACAACATATGTACTGCAATCGTCACCTTCTTCGGACATTCCCGACACCGTTATTTTTTTCCTTTACGGCTTACCGTCCCTTCCGATGTATTGTTTTTTCCGATTTCAATGGCTTTTGCACAAAGGGAGCCAGCGTAAGGAAAGGTCGGCCTGAGAGGTATGGTCGTTTACAGCCGGAAAAACCCTCGATTTCATTTAGTTTCTGCCTGGCTTCGGGACATACCTACCCTTATAGTACCGCATGTTAACTTATATACATCTGTGTTCGACATCTGTATGACCGGAGGTACGAGCACATAAACGTGGGGCCCATTTGGCGAATGTTCGATTGCACATGGAGTAATAAACGTCGAACCTTTTTCAAAGTTTCTAGAGACTCACGGGTCCAACATTTTTCAACAGGCACTTCATTTTACTCCTCATACAGCAAATTACATACCTGAGAAAAAACATGCACAAACACAAGCTCAAAGCTCGTCCAGTCAAGGAATTTGACTTAGTATACTCGAACGAGATTCTACTTTTCTCTCATGCCAGTCTTATTAAAAATTATTATGAAAATAATTGAAACTTCTCAGAGGCTGTGAAACACACAGATGTGCTAGGAGACTAATAAATAATCAATATAGGTACATATCTAATGATTAAAAAAGTCTCGCAAGTCCCCCCATCATTACGCAAATCTACCTTCTGTGTC